GAGGGCGTCGGGGGAGGTCGTGAAGGACATCTCAAAGGTTCCATCAGGGAGCTACTTCTTATCAGTGCCAGCCCATGCCAAATGTGAATGAACCTACCTTGTTCATATAAGAGTCGGGCAGAATGTTGAAACTTGTGAAAAAGTAACCCGTGTGAATGCACGACATCTTGGCCGCGAGCTCAGGATACTTCTCATCAACATACGCCGGAAAGACATCCGCCTTGCCATCAAAATGATACAACTCCTTGAACTTGCCTCCACTGCACTTCTCAGCCTGACTCAGCGTCGAGACCAAAAACCCATTATCATCCAGCGTATCAACAACCGTAGCAGCCGCATCGACAATATTCTTGCCCTGCTGCACCTCAACGTTGTACGCAAACTTTCGACACGAAATACCCTGCTTCTCCGCCTGCTCCCGACAATCAGGTCGGAAAAACGGCTCCCAGTAGTTGGTCACGCTGAAGATGACGTTTGCTCCGGCAAATGCGCTCTTGAGGGTCGAGACGTCATTGAGATCAACAGCCACGACTTCGGCTCCCGCCGACGACAGGGCTTGGGCGGTGGGTGAGGCGGTGTTGCGGGTCAAGCCACGCACTTTGAAGCCCGCCTTGAGAAAGCGACGGGCGACGGAGCCGCCCTGGTTGCCTGTGGCGCCAACGACGCAGATGAGTTTATCGTTGGCCATTGCTTTTTCGTTTGTTTGTCTTTGTTGGTTCTGTATTGGCAAAGAGGAGAAATGGGGAGGAGAAGTTCGGTGAGGGTTTATTTCCTTAGCCGACCTTGGCTTTAGTTCGAGCTGCTAGAGTCTAGGCCCCCCCTCTAAAAGACGGAGATGCATTCCTAGATCGATGTGACTAAACCTAATCAAGCCCGTCCTCGCGTGTTTCCCCAATCGTACCATGGCCCTGGAATTCCCAGTTTTCTCTCTCTCTCTCTCTTCTCTCTGCTCTCTTTCTTCCGTGTGTCCCGCGCTTTTCCCCACGTGGCTTGATCAATCTTTTCCCTCCCTCATACTCCGCTCCAAGCTTGACACGACTACGGTTTCACATACCTAATAGTGCTTATTTGGGCCATCTCTACCTATCATTATGGGCTCTGAACACGATTCCAAACCAAAGACTTCTTCGTCGCCCGTAGCGTCAGGGTCTCCTCCACCCGTTACCACTCTGTCGGGTCAAGATCCTGGCGAGACGCACCGATCGCCCGCAGATGACGAGGACCAACAGCCAGAGGAGCATGCGCCGCTCCAAGTCGATGTAGGCTCTGACTCATTGACACATGACTTAGTATATCGTATTGACTGTTTTTTAGGAAGATGAAATAGCTGGCGATGATGCAGACTCTACTTATGGCTCTGATCGAGGCTCAGTCTACACTGCTTCCGCCACGTCATCAATCTACGACTACCAGTATGAAAATGGTCGTCGCTACCACGCTTTTCGCGAGGGTCAATACGTCCTGCCCAACGACGACCAGGAACAACAGCGCCTAGATCTTCAGCATCACATTTGGCGTCTACTCCTGGGCGGCGCCCTTCACACAGCACCGCTACCTAGCCCAGACTCAACTGAAGAATACCGCATTCTGGATCTCGGCTGCGGCACCGGCATCTGGGCTATAGAAATGGCAGATGAGTATCCCAACGCCACAGTCGCAGGTGTAGACCTCTCTCCGATCCAGCCGGACTGGGTACCAGGTAACTGCATGTTTCACGTAGACGACTACGAAGATGAGTGGACGTACCGCGAGAGTGAGAAGTTTGACTACATCCACGGTCGGGCGCTCAGCGGCACGAGTGCAGATTGGATGAAGTTTTATAAGCAGGCGCTTAATAATATGAAACCAGGCGGATACATGGAGATGCAGGAGTATGATGCGTGGATCTTCAGCGACGACGATAGTTGCGATAGGGCGCCGTGGACGATGGAGTGGGTTAATAAGCTTGATGAGGCTAGTAAGATGTTTGGCAAGCAGATCAACGTGGCCAAGTATCATAAGCAGTGGATGATTGACGCTGGTTTCGAAGATGTCGTTGAGAGAGTTTACAGAGTAAGTTATCATGTCAGCGTTGCAATGCTGGTTACTGACTTTGGCAGATACCCATTGGACCATGGGCGAAAGACCCGACACTGAAGGAGCTGGGAAAGTTTGAGCTGACGCATATGCAAATGTCGGTTGAGTCGCATACACCAGCTTTGTTCACGCGCGTGTGGAATTATTCGCACGATCAGGTCATGGTGTTGATGGAGGGTGTCAAGAGGGAGTTTCGGAGTCGTGAGTTGAGATTGATCACGAGTTATCGATTCATCACGGGACGAAAGCCAGCAGAGGCTTAGATGCGCTGGTTGCATCGAGCATGGAAGAGCTTTTAGATTACGAAGCATGGATAGTTAAGCGGGCGTTGGGATATAGGAGGAAATTGACTTTCTTTCGATGACTTGGCAGGTTTCCGCCTCTGCATTTAACTATGGATGATGGCTGTCTATAAGGTTAAGCTCATGTGTTCGCAACACGAAGCTTAACATTATACACAGCTGTCATCCATAGTTAAATACAGAGGCTCAAACCCTCCGAGTCATTGAACCTTGCTATTTTATTTGCTACAAGACATGAGGACTAGCAGTGATCTGGACTACCGAAGATGATCTTGTAGTAATGTTTGAGCCAAGAATCCAATTTGATCTTGACTTATTCTCCCTCAGAGCTCAGAAGGCTGATCAAGAGCGTGGGCTATCAACTTCTTGTACCCCTCAACAGCCTCCTCCAGATCAGAAACCTTCAAGTGCTCATGCGCAGAGTGCGCCTCGAGAATCGAGCCAGGTCCATACAGGTATCTTTTATGACTACCCTTTAGTCTCGGGATATCTGTTCCGTAGTTCAAGACCACAGTTTCAAATCCTACCATGGTTAGCTAGAGCTCGCTTCTTTCCAATGCTGTTATCTTACCATCAACATCATAGTCTGTTGGCACGGGTCCAATACCATACGAGAACACAACGACTAGGTTCGGGTCACTCCCCTCAACAGCCTGACGTATTAGATCCCTAATGACCTCTGGAGTTCCTCCAGCGACTCGAACTCCGCCGGTAGCAAAAGCACTCGCTGGGATTACGTTCCCAGCTACACCGCCTTCAATCCTGCCCACATTAAGAGTAGAGTTCCCAAACTCTTTACTCCCAGGTAGCTCAACCTTCTGAAGAGCTGCTAGCCCACGAACAAGGCTATCAATAGCATTACTTCCTGTCTCAGGGTATCCTGAATGACCAGCTTTCCCGTTTGCTTTTATAGTGAAGCCCAATCCACCTTTGTGGCCTCGAGCAAGTTTGAGCTCTGTTGGTTCACCGAAGATGACGGACTCCCAGGATAAACCGAGATCATTGACGTTGCCCATTCCGGGTCCACCTGTCTCTTCACCCACCACAAACAAAAGCGCTACATCGCCTTCACTGACTTCTTTCTTCTGCAAGAGTTCTTGAACAGCAATGATTTGGGCCGCGACACTGCCCTTTGCATCGACTGTTCCTCGACCCCAGATCTCATCGCCACATCGTTCATAAGGCCAGAATGGGGGAACAGTGTCAATATGAGACGTCACGAGAACCTTTGTTTTTCTCGTGCTATTATAGTAAGCCAAGACGTTATCGCGGTTCTTGGCGACTGCTTGAGTCTCAACAGTAAACCCGGCATCTTGGAGGTATGTCTTGAGAAAGTCGGTGACGTGCTTCTCAGAACCAGTGATTGAGGGTCGCTCAACAAGTGATTTGTGCAGCTCGAGAAGTGCTGATGATTCTAGTGACTCATGAGAGAACGGGAGCTGGACACGTCCCAGGTCAAACGCCGTCGCCGCAGCGGCAGCCAAGAGAATGGTGTTGAGCTTCATGTTGATAACAGCCTGCCGATAACAAAGAGGGGTAAAAAGATATGAACCTGTCCGAACTGGGCCCCGTGTATCCTGATATAACGTTGATCGTCACAAATTGATAAGCAATCTCGAAAAGCCAATCAATTTCCTCTTTTATCGTTGTACAGATGTCACCATTGACGGGCAGTATTTCCTCATCTGCCAAAAGCGGGGAGGCTCAAACTTCGGATCCGAGATGGCAACACCTTTTATAGAAATACTTGCATTAGCTTTAATAGTGGTATTGTTAAAGGGATAGGTTTGGAGATAACAGCTGGAGTTAATGGGTTGCGCGATTATATCCCTTGCGCACGCCAAGATGAGGAATGCCGATCGCGGGATGTCGACATATCGTGGGGTGAGGAGCAGGATACGCAAAGCCAAGTCGCCAAGATTTATATCTTTATGGGCGTACCTTGATAGATTCTAAGAAACGAAGAGAGGATCATCGCGAAAATGGCTTCTTCTGGTATTTCCAAAGGCCACGAAGCCGTGGATGAGAAGACTCAACATGTTATTCCCGACTCTTCGTCTGGTGAACCGCCAATCAAACAACACTACAACACCGTCACTCGCGGAGAATCTGTCCCTTCCTCTGATGATATAAATGATAACATCATTGGATACGATGGAAGACTCATGGGAGCACGGACTAAGTTGAGCAGTCAGCAGGAGAAGAAGTTGCTGCGACGAATTGATTGGCATCTCATTCCTTTGCTTTCGGTCATGTACATGGTCAAGTCGATTGATGCTTCCAATGTGAGTTAGCGAACTACATTGACGGTATAGTACTAATGTTGTAGGTCTCTAATGCTCGAATTATGGATCGCGGAACGCCGAGGAATATCATGACGGAGTTGAACATCTCAGCCGATGACTACAACTTTGTCACTATGGCCTACTACGTATGTGTCAGATGTAAAGATCACGAATAGCACTGATGAATGTGTAGATTCCATATATCCTAGCGGAGACACCTTCCAACCTTCTGGTAAAGCGCCTCAAACCATCAGTTTGGCAAGCAAGGATCATGGTTCGTCTCTATATTCAGTCGCCAGACCATTGAGCTGACCGATGCGCTAGATATCATGGGGCATCGTTCTCGTTTGTCATGCCGCAGTAACAAATGCCGCTGGCTTGTATACAGTCCGCGCTTTTCTCGGTCTCTTCGAGGCAGGACTCTGGCCTGGCATGCTTCTGCAGTTATGCTACTGGTATCGTCCCGATGAAATGGCATCGCGCATCGTTCTTGTTACTATTCTTGGTAACTTCAGTGCTGTAGTCAGCGGTGTTCTTGCCTTTGCGTTCAACGGTGTCCATGCGCAGGGCTTGTCGGGATGGAAATGGTGTGTGCCCCCACCAACATGTTTCCATGGTAGACTGACTCAAGTTCTAGGCTTATCTTGACAGAGGGAGTATTCACTATCCTTCTTGGTATCTTTGCATACATATTCATGCCCGACTGTACGTTCACACCGCTGACACAGCGCTACATACTGACATCGAAAACAGTCCCCGACACGGCTCGTTGGATGTCCGAAGAAGAAAAGGCATTCGTCCAAGCTCGACTACCCATCAACGCCCCTAGAGCTGCTGAGAAAGACTTTGATTGGAAAGAGTTCTGGAATACCCTCAAAGATCACAAGCTCTGGCTGTTTCTTCTCTGCTGGGCATTTTATACCATCGGGACGACGGGGCTTAACTTTTATCAGCCAACGGTCATTGCGAACTTGGGTTTCACGTAAGTCTCCATAAAATTGCTTAGAGGTAGGACGAAAGCTGACACTGGTTCGTTACAGTGGTATTGCTGAAGCCCAGCTGCTTAACATCCCTCCGGCCATCTTCGCCTGCGTGCTGACCATAGTATTCGGATGGGTTGCCAACACCGGTCGTTTCCCTTTGCCTCTCATTCCACTGAGCTTCATGATAATCATAGAAGCATGCTACGTTGTTTTGTACACTTTTCCCAGCACAGGTGGCGTATACGCAGCTACTGTAATAGCCGGAGGGTTCTCAATTGCTTGGTAAGTCTAGCCAGCCCGCTCTTCAATATCTGCTAACGAGATAGGTACACAATGATGTGGCCATGGAGAGTCCAAACCACAGACGGAGCCACCGGTTCAGCCTTTGCCATCGCATTCGCCAATAGCTACGGCCAGATTGGAGGGGCAGTTGGATCACAGCTGTTTAATTCGCGCTTCGCACCTAGGTACACCACGTCGTTTGGGATCGCGATGGGCTTTATCGGTATGGCTATTATCATGAATGTTATCACTTGGTCGTTTACATGGGAAGTGGATGTTGCGACGAGACGGCTCAAGAGGGCAAGAGATGCTGCTGCGAAGAGGAATGAGGCTATTCTTGATGATGTTGACATTCACGCCAAGACATAGGCCTGAGATTGACATGTTCGGCTTGATCTTCGGCTACGAGAAGGATAATCAAAGAAGCTAGACTGCAACCATGAATTGACAAGCCTTTTTATTCTCACTTTACTTCTAATTTCATGATTGCACCAGACTCTTCTCAAAGACCCTGTACTCCGTCGGACCAGCAAGCAAGTTCACCAAATCAGGATAATCATCCGCAAAATCCCCCAACTTAACAAGCTCATACCCCATTCTCATATACCACTTCAACAACCTAGCCTTTCCCTCATGATGAAACGTCATCGGCACAAGAATCTCTAGCTGCATCTTCGTGCACCCTCTCCGTCTACATTCATCTTCCGCAAAGACTGCTAGTTGTCGCCCGACACCCGTACCTTGGTACTGAGGGTCAAGTGCCAACATTCCGAACTCTCCGAGGGCGGGTGTCATGAGTTTAATGAAGACGCAGCCGATCGGCTCGTTATTTGGCTGTAGGTAAGTGACAGCGAGTTGGCCATTACTAAGAAATTTGGTGATTTCGGTGGTGGTGGTTCGTTAGTATGATGGGATGAAGATATCGGACTCGGCTTTTTTGTAGGCAGTGTTCACGATATCTGTTAGGGTCGAGACGAGAGTTTTGTCCTCCGCATCCGAGGCCGGGGGTATTTTCACGATGATCTGTGGCTTGGTCATGGTGGATTTAGAAGTACAATGCAAAATTTGTCCGATAAGAGAAGAAATCCAGAGTTTATAAGGCCTCGGTAGTTGTAGTGAGAACTATAATCTCACACGTCAGACTTTGGCTGACGTAAAACAGCGCAGGTGGAGAATGCCGCTTTGGCGGCCCGTTTGATATTACGCTTTTGGGAAATTCCGTACGGCGCTTCGTATTGCCAGTAGCTCTAGTTATTATGCTTGTAACATCAACCGAGTCCTATCTTTTGACAAGAAACGACTGTCGCTACATGCTGTGGCCTCTCACAATCTTTACGTACCAACGAAAAGTTAGACGAGCGGTCATCATCCTTCCTTGCACAGCAATTAGTATCGGTGGCAATAATCGATCCGTGATCCAAGACGCCCTGGATTGAAATTTCCGACATAGGTTCAGTCGAGAAATATGGCCAAATGAACAGCCCGAGATGGAAACATTTTCTCTTTTTATGTTTCCTCTCTGGTATAATTGGACCTATCCGATCTAACGTTTCTGATATGTCACTCGCGGGCGATCCCTGCTGTTTCTATCGGCATGTCAGCCGGAGGCACAGTGACCTGAGGACATTTGCGTCGTAAATGCTGACCTTCAGTTTGCTCTTACAACACCCGCAAGACAAAATGTCCTCTCTAGACTGGCTACTTGATCTATGCGCCGTCGCCAAAGCGTCTGGTAGCGGTATCATCACTGTCACTGACGATACTCCTCTCGAGAATCAGCTTCCACCAAGCAAAGACCCATGGTATTCCGCACCTGTGGACTGGGAGTCCAGAAAACCTGGCGATGTTCTTCGCATTCGTTCCTCATCGAACCTCACCAGAACTGTGGAAGGCTCCGGAGCTGTGTATCATCTCCTTTACCGCTCAACAGACTCACGGGATCGTCCATCATGGGCTGTCACCACACTCTTCATTCCAATTTCACTTTACCAATCTCCATCCGGAAAAGCAGCCATTCTGTCATATCAGTTCGCGTACAACACGTGCAACGTCAACTCCAGCCCGTCATTCGCTTTATCTGGAGCGATGGCGAAGAGCGAACCGAACCTTGGAATCAAATCGAGTACTTCTTTGATCACTGAGATGCTCTCTTTTGGGTGGATTGTCAACACCCCGGATCACCTTGGGCCAAACGCCGCATTCGGCGCAAGTGTCCAAGTGGGCCATGCGACTCTCGACGCCTTGCGCGCTGTTCACGATCTTTTCAGCTTGGGAGGCAGTTCAGGCTTCAACACTGCGATATGGGGATACAGCGGTGGCTCGATCGCGACGTTCTCCGCAGCTGAGCTCCAGCCATCCTATGCACTAGAGCTCAATATCTCAGCAGCGGTTATCGGCGGTCTTGTGGATGACATATCCGCCGCAATGGACAAGATCAACAAGAGTCCTATCGCCGGCACTCTAATTGCCTTCTTACTAGGAATCACAGCGCAATGTCCAGAAGAACGAGCTTACCTAGAAAGCCGTCTTATCCCAGGAACGAAAGAGGAGTTCATGGCAGCAATCAACACCGAAGTCACACAAAATGTGGGCAAATACTCCGGACAAGACATTTACACGTTCTTCAAAGATGGAGGTGAAGATCTTAGGGCTCCGATTTTAAAAGAGCTCTACGATAAGCAAGCAAAGCTGGGATGCAGAGACACGCCTAAAATGCCCATGTTTCTGTACAAGGCTATACAGGATCAGTTCTGTCTCATTGAGCTCACTGATGCGACGGTTGATAGACTCTGTGAGAAAGGAGCGGAGATTACCTTTGAGCGGAATACAGTGGGAAGCCATGTGTCTGAGATTGAGAATGGGAAACCAAGGGCATTTCGGTTTCTGAAGAGTATCTTTGATGAGTCGTACGAGTCTCCTGCATCGAAGCAGAATGTGATGGATGTCACGGTTGATGTTTCTTCACAGAATAAGTGAGCGTAGTCAGAACTTGGTCGCTATCTAATCTCATGAAGGAGCAATCCTTCCCTTCTCCATAGGAAGATCAGTACCCCTCCAAACCCTCACATTTTCTCCAGGCTCACATGTCCTTGCAACCCAATTCTCGACTCTTTCCACACCCCACATTATTGTGAACAGATTGATTAGCATAGGATCTACGTCTGATGCCTTTGCGCTCAGAAACAGACCCTCGCAGTCGAGGCTACATATGAAAAGAGGATCTGCTTTCCTACATGCAGCTGCCCAAGTAAAGCAGCTTTTTGCATCCCATAGATTCTTATGGGCTGTGAAGTAAATACCGCCATGACATTCAGCCCATTTCTGTTTCAGAGTGAGGTACACTCCGATGGTTGAAGTTGCCAAGAGCCATATACGACGGATACTCTCTGACAACACCCAATTGCGCCACTTTCGCGGTAGCGGATCACCGTCGAAGATGGAGTCCAGAACAATGCCGTTGGCGGAGGCAGCCGCAGCAGAGCTACCGCCACCGTCACAAGGCAAGCCGATATCCGGATCACGAAGAGCGGCTTCCCAGAGTTGACGCGTCCATGAGAGAAGGGTCTGTATTTGTTGTTCAGCGCTGGCTCGCGCGCCAATTGAAGGCGAGAACAGTGCTAGCACAAGATGGATGAATAATGCTTGGGTTCGAGCGAGGTGCTCACGAATGTTAAGCGTCACTTCGGGACCGGCGAGGTCCGGGCAATAAGTCTTGAGTAACGCCGATGCTTTCGACACCAGTAATTCATCAATAACAGTCTCGTTCGCGGGCGTTTTTGAGTTGTGTAGGATGACACAGGTGAACGCATCCTGTATTGATGGGGGTAGCCCAGCATCGGCGTAGAGCTGGTTGTGTATGAACGGGCTGTGAGAGTTGGTGACCCATTCCGTAAGGAACTCATGGATGCCATGGATATAGTTCATGCAGACAGAGTTTGGGAAAGATGGTGTCGTAAAAGGGATGTGACGAATGCCCCATGCATCGGGTCTGAGGAAGAAGTCGACATGATCCTTTTGGCTCGAGATTGTCTCACCGCTCGTCGCGGGCGAGTCATCTGGCAACTCAGCAACAGGGAGAGCGCCCCAATTACTCAAACTAGCCGCCCACTGATTGAGGTCAATCAAGCCATTGTTTGGTGATGAAAAGGGTAATTGCATGAGGCTCGGTGGTCCAACACTGAGTCTGCCTGGACTCTCTCCGCCATTTTCCACTCCTGGCGCTGACGAGTGCAATCTCTTCCGCTTCGTAGGAGGATATCGGCATTCAACGTCTCGATCATTACACCGCCCGCAGATTGGTTGAGCTTTGTCGCATTTCCGCTTCCCGTTCGTACACGCGTAACACGCTTTGAGCTTTGTCGCAGAACACATCGTGATTATGTTGATGCGGGAAGATAGCGGGTTTACGGGATTGGCTGCGGGACGACTTAGGGAGATCGGATTAACGTTAGCGACTTTTGTCAGCGGCTGTGCGGAGATTTTGCGGGTTGTTGGCGGAGACAGCTCTGAGATAAGCTTATCGCTCAGTATGCAGAGCCTGGAAATTTAGCGCAGTCAGGGCATGATGCGGGTTTCTGGCGGGCTTCGATCGATTCACCCGCAGACTTCCGACATTGGATGTTGAGATTATGTTATACTCCTTGCCGCGACACGTTGAAGGGGTCAAATGATTGTATATAATGGATGAGTATCCAATCTCCGTAAGCTTTCAATCCAGATCTCATCATCAATCCACTTACTTACAACATCCAGTACCTAGCAGCAGCTTTCCAATATGCCCTCCGCAGCAGAAACCAGACCCGAGGAAAACCCCTGGGAGAATGTCGAGGCACCTACCCACGGCAGTAATCTCATAACCAAAGTCCATCGCGAGTCATACGAGGCAATCTCGCCAACTCGTCCCGAACTTTCCCAAGCGGGTCATACTGTTATCGTCGCTGGAGCCTCCACTGGAATTGGCTTCAGCATCGCCGAATCCTTCGCCGCAGCTTCCGCGTCTCGTCTCATCATCACCGGCCGTCGTCAGGATACTCTGGACAAAGCTGCTGAGAAAATCAAGACGAAGTACCCTAATGTTGAGGTCATCCCGATTAACAATGATTTCGCTGATGAGAATGACACGCGAGAGTTTTGGAAGAGACTTAGCGACGATGGTGTCTTCGTTGATGTTCTTGTTTTGAGCGCTGCGAAAATGTGGCTGCCCAACACTATTCTTGGACTTGGATATGAGACATTCAAAGATGGCCTTGGAGTGAACCTTATTGCTCCGTATCTATGGACGAGTCTGTTTTATAAGCAGCGTGAGATCGACCCTTCACGAAAACTGGTAAGCTTACAAGCCCTCATGGCAAATGTCGTGTCATAATACTTACGCCGTCCAGGTCCTTCTCAACTTATCCAGCATTGCAATTCATCTAACTCAGCTCTCTATTCCTATTCCTCTATACTCAATCACCAAGAGCGCTGGGACAATGATGATGCAGCATATCGCCATGACCGTCCCTTCCAGTGAGATGCAAGTCATCAGTTTCGAGCCGGGACTCCACTACACTGAATCGTTCGAACGTTTCACTGATGAGAATAGTTTCAAGTGGGATGATAGTATGTATTGATTCTCATGAGCTGAAACCATACTGACCAAGGTACAGTCAAGTTGCCTGGCGACTTTGCCGTTTGGGCAGCCTCTGAAGAAGCCGAGTTTCTTCACGGGAGGTTCATTTGGGCGAAGTGGGATGTTGATGAGCTCAAGAATGGGCCTCTTCGGAAGAAGATCGAGAGTGACGCTTCACTATTCAGGGTCGGCGTCAGTGGATACTAGATCACAAGCACAGCATCAAGTTCGTTCCTTGAAATCGTGGTCACAATGAGATGATCAGGCTCTTTAGCAATTCACGGGGCAATGTAATAATAATTTACTATAGCTTTATACTCGAGAGCGTCGTTTCGATGCTGGTAGTTTCGGAAGCGAAAGAAGCTCATCCAAGCGCTTTTCGTTCTGAAAGCTTCTTAGTTCCTCCTGAGACTTTTCTGATTCCCTATGCAAGCGGCGGATAATGTCGCCAGCGAGATCGGCATTGGCACTCAGCATTTTGCAGAACACATCCTGACTCATCAATGTTCCAATCTTTTTGACAGCAATCTCCAGAGCGATATCACGTAATCCTCTGTCTCCGGGCGGCGTAGTCGTGTACGCCAGTTCGATTGCACATGGAAAGCTATCCATCTCCCATCCTGCATCAATACTGGTGCGATACTTTGTCGCAGCAAGTCTCTTCAACGCCTCAATGTCATATTTATCAGCGATTTGATAGACCCTGGCATGGAATATCATAGCTGATGAATCAGCTGGGGACTCGTAATCGAAACAGTAAAGGAAAAGTGTCATTGCCCTGACAACAGCGGGGTCGAAATCCATGATTTCTATCACTCGCTCAGAGCTTTCCTATGACTTGTCAGTCATAATCTAATATCGTGGGGAAAAGGTCCTCTTCCAACCTTCCATGGCCCATCTAGCTGCTTTTTGAAATACTCGGAGTGGCAGAAGAGTATAAGACTGTGGACTGCGAATTCACGACCTCCGCATTTGATGACGGTGTCTGAAAGGCGTGTATTGTTGAAGTACCTGTTCTGTCAACAACAAGCTTATCGAAGTGGGGATACGGAAACATACTTCTTCAAGGATGCGCCAAACTCTTCATATGGCGGTGACTCCATCTCTGTGCCAAAGGAGAGTCGAGTCTGATGTTCCCAGGGAAAAGAAGATGAAGATAAAGAAGGGCGAGGAGCGAGGCAACGGAGGGGTTCGCTTTCTTATGTCGTGGCATGATGGTAAGCCTCCCGCAGAAACTTCAGCCACATATTGAAGTTGCTACGGGGTCTCTGAATAACTGGATATTTCATGTAAATAAATGATGTAATTCATTTGAGAGTAAACCAACTATAGTTTTCTGGAAAGCATTACCTATTAGTGCTGAGAAATGTACATACAATGTAAGGTAAGCCCACCAGCAAAAACGAAATGATATTCTGTGTTACCACGACGCCCATCTGGGACACGCCCAGCTTCATGAAAACCGCGATTCGTAATAATTATATCTACAGAACGTCCCATTTATTGCTCATCCCGTGCATAGTCAACTGCGCAGCCTTATGCGTTCCAACGACTCGCCAATAATTCGTCGAACTTATCCCACATCCGTTGGGCATCCCTTCCGTCCCCTTGGTCAAGCTCACCATTTCCCATATAAAAGTAAAGCCAATTGGGTTCCTCATCCGCCTGTATCGGTTGAAAACCGCAGATGGGACAGAAGATTGGCTTTGGTTCTTGGTAGTCCGAGATTTGATCGCCAGGTGAATCTATCCTCAACTTAAAAGTAGCCTCGCACGATGGACATTTGCAATAGCAATACTTTTCCCAACTCTCATGTATCAGACTGACAAGGTCGGCTGAGAAATCTCCATTCAACCCCAGGATCTCCTTGAATGAGGTCTCTGACATGAGGTACTCAAAGTGTGTGCACGAGCTCTGCACAACGATGTCTCTGAGGCCTCGGTCTCCTGATGGCGTGGTGCTATACACAATGGAGATCGTGTCGGCCAAGGTACTTGCAAACCCAGCGTCGACTTCGGCTTCGTTAACGACACGTTCGAATTTGTTTGCAGCTTGCTTTTTGAGTGGTTCGATGCCGTATTTGTCGCCAATCTGGTAGACCTGAGCGTGGAAGATCATATGGCGTGTGTTGGGAGGGACGTCGTAGTCGAAAGAGTAAAGAAAACGAAGCATAGCCTCCACAATATTTGCATCAAAGTCTTTAATTTCGATGGTTTTGTCCTCACTCTCCTTTATTTGGTTAGCTTATATTGTCAGTAGGGATAGGAGGACTCACCTTCCACGGCCCAGTCAGCTGCCTTTTGAAGTAGTCAGAGTGACAAAAAAGTACAAGGCTGTGGACTGAAAATTCCTGGTCGCCGCATCTAACCACGACGTCTGAAAGGCATTTGTTGTTGTAGTATCTAGATGCGTTAGTAAGCCTGTCAATAGGTTAAGAGGCAGAGCCAGAACATACCCCTGCAGAGAGGCACCGAACGCTTCGATGGGCTTGGGTTCCATGCTTGACGAGAAATTGAAACGATGGAGTGGTTTTGAAGAGATTTTGGTCCTGGGCGTAGCTGGTAATCGTGATATTTATATTCTTTTGTGACACAAAACACTATTCTGTTATCGCAGTGTATAACTCTGATATTTTCTATATCAAAAGATTACTTCATTTAATGGCAATAATGAAAAGCTTGTAAGAACTAAATATCCGATTTTTGAGGTCAATATTGCAGGTCCGAGATAGTTCTTGCGACAAAGTTCCAGAAAGTCAACTCTAAGTGGCATATTGCAGCGCATTTGTCGGTCTCTGGCCAAGCAAGCTTTCAAGTTAAACAAAGTCAAAAGGGACGGGATACATGTACCAAGATGAGTGGCAATTACACGACACGGTTCGAATCGAGTTAACCGTGGCTTCTGAGTTCTCTATGCTGATCCAAGCTCTAAGCCACAGGCCTCAGTTGTATTCCCACTGGCTTCTACGGCATGCAGCAATGCCTAAACCATCGCTACAGAACACGTGGTGCGATAAGGATAAGATTCAACTTTCAACCAACATAGTTCTCTTGCTCCATTCTCGGCCAATATAGAGTCTACAAGTTACCGGTGGCAAATTCCGATCTGGAGGCCTGTAACGATAGTGTAGGTTTCAAGTTTCGGCGTGAGAGCATACCCTGAACTCCATGCGATAAGATCGTTTGGAGTGACGATGCAAGAATAGAAAATTCTGGACAGAGACTTTCTCGCCAAGAGAACCTGGCTCAGTAGAAGTCTTCTTCATCGTCGAATAGGTTGCCATAGTTTTGCGGATAATGTACCCTTCATCATGCACTAAGCATGAAGTCCACAACTGGAGTTAATAAAAGTACAGCGCTTTGCAGCATCTCAGGTTCATCTTAACTTAAGCCACCTCTGTACGATTCTCCATACGGTCTACTATCTTTCTAACCGGATCCAAAAAGGAGGTGTGAAGCGATGATCCGTGATTGGGGTTCCGGCCGTGGCGTAAGGCAGCGGCCGCTGACTGCCGACAGGGCGGAGACTTTATGTGTAATAATGAGCGGTACTTGGATAAATCGGCAGATCATCACTTGGCAGCTGTGGTCGCCGCTTATCTGCAATTAAACCGGTGGAGCCCGATGTCCCGAGAGTAAGCTGCCAAGTATGGGGCCAAGACTTCAGGAGAAGCCTTCCAGAACACCGTGGTGTAAGTTATTATGGACTAGCTATAGAACTACTGAGAGCTTGAGGTTAAAAAGACATTATTTGTATTATTATCAAGACACTCAGGACATAGATTTAGCAGCTATCCACGATTGAAGTTTTGGAATGCTAATCGCCAAACTCTTGTGTAGCTACAATACCCAGTGACTGTATCACTATCTATTGTTTCAGCTCCAGCCACTGATATAATACAGCTAACTACTAATTTCGTCTTTGCTATTCTTCGCCGTTGACTGGCTGTTGATGTGGAAATTGCTGGACTTGGCGAGCCGGGAAGATGCATGATCATGTTTCGTCTCGTCTTGCATCGTGGGATATTCTTCTCAGCTTCGGTGATCCTGGGTCCTTGGCATCTCATGGGGTGATCTTCACTGTATAGGACAGCTGCGCGGATCAGGAGGTGAATCAACTGCCGAATGATAAGTATAAATACCAGAGCAAACCACCGTTCGATCTCAAAATCACTCCCAACGTCAGCTGCACTCATTCATTCACTTACTCAATCTTTAAGTCTCTCAAGGCCATTCATCCAAGTCATTCACTATGCTCGTTAAAACCCTTCTTTCCTTTTCCCTTCTCCTGGCCGTCGCACATGCTGGCCCAACCGCTCCAAGCCAAGGCCTCGCCAAACGTGACGGTTTCCCCGTCTGCGACGACACTTCCAGGACCTACGAAGGTCCCTACACCGATGGTTCAGGAACCTACGTGACCTCCGACCGAACCACCCATCCCTACAAATTCCCCAAAGTCCGCAAATGCTGGTACGACTACTTCGTCCTCGAGACCTCAAAGGAATACACCCCATGGCAGAAAGCCTCCGGCAACATCTACTGCACCGGCACCCAAGTCTGCACTGCAACCAAGCTCGTCGGCAACGAGGTCTGCCAGGAACGTTCCGAAAGCGTCAGCGTCAGCGTCGGTGCTGAGATTGAGGGTTTCAGCCTTGGTCTTGACTTCACGACTACGGATACTGAGTCCAAGTGTGTTCAGGCTCAGGACTTGACGGCTTGTACTTGGGATGACGGCGCTTGTCATACTGTTTGGACCCAGCAGGAGGTCATGAGACAGAAGGGATATCGTCGACAGAGGTGTAACTGGGGTAATGGGGATGAGACCCAGTGCATGGATAACTGGGAGCAGACTACGCCTTCTGACTTTATTTCCTATGGCTGTGGATCCAAGTGTACTGACACGAACGATTGCGGTAACACTGATGGTAAGCCTTGCTCTAAATGAGCTTTGAGCGATGAGTTCTGCGGAGGGCTAGAGGGCGATTTTCCTTTCTTCTCATCATCTCGATGTACTCTTTTGTAGATTCTGGAGGACTTTTGGGCATTTAATGGATTCGAACACATAGGGATGGATAGCTAGAGCTAGATACTACGCTTTCAAGCATTCAAATCTTAGACAGCGGCAAAATCTGAAGATCATCCCTACTCAAATCCCTCACACTCTTCTTCCCAGCATTCGCAAGCATATTATCCATATCCGCCAACAAACACTTCAAAACATGTTCCACGCCCTCTTGTCCACCCGCCGCAAGACCATACGCATACGGTCTTCCAATGCAGACTGCCTTTGCACCAAGGGCCAGCGCCTTCAACACATCTGAGCCTGTTCGAACACCGCTGTCAAACATGATTGTGAGGGTTGAGTCCTTAACCTTCTTATCCGCTGCAATATCGGCTAGTGCATCTAGTGACGCTATAGCGCCGTCGAGTTGGCGGCCGCCGTGGTTGGAGACGATGATACCGTCGATGCCGTGCTCGATTGCAAGGTGGGCGTCCTCAACTGTCTGAATTCCCTTGAGAACAATTGGTCCGTCCCAGAGATCCTTCAAGATCTTGAGGTCACTCCACGAGCGGTATGTACCAGAGTTGATTACATCAATCCAGGCTTTTGACTTGATCAAAGTCTTTGCATTGGCCAGAACCCTAGCAGCACCATAGACAGTTCCAGGCCTTCTCATAATCGTCCAAAGCTCAGAAAGCTTTTCTGCGATACTTCGCGAGTCATTCTTCTGCATCTCATCAAACAACCTATTAAAAACAGGATCCGAAAAGCCAATCTGACAGCCCTGTCCCCAGATGAACGGCAAATACGACGTGTCGAGGTCTGTAGGTCTCCAGCCAAGCGAGAAGGTATCCAGCGTGACGACAAGGACCTTGTAGCCTGAAGCTTTTGCGCGCGCGAGAAGACTAGTTGTGACGTCCTCAAACTGCGGCTTCGGCCAGTAGAGCTGATACCATCGATCACCATCTGCATTCGCCGCAGCGACTTCCTCAATCGTGCGCGTCGCAGCAGTCGATAGAATCATCGGCATACCGACATTATGACACGCCCTCGCCGTCGCTTCCTCCGCATCAGGATGCAAGATGCTCTGCACGCCAATAGGCGCTACGAGCAGGGGACTCTTGTACTGGGTACCGAACAGCTCAACGTCGACTTCGCGCGTGGTGACGTCAACTAGAAAGCGAGGCTTCAGACGATATCGGCTGAATGCTTCACTGTTGGCTTTGGCGGTAGCAGCGCTGCTCGCTGAGCCGTAGACGTAGCCGAAATTGGTGGCGGGGATCTTTTCCTTGGCTAGGGATTCCCATTCTGTGGGGTTTGTTGAGAAGAGTGGTGGGCGGAAGGATTGGTAGATGTCGCGCTGGAAGTTGGAGAAGCTGGTTGGGTCTGGGATTGAGAACGGTTGGCTCAGCCTCTTGGGTTCGACCTCATTTGCCATGTTGAGATGATGAATTTAATGGTGATTTTGATGAATTTGGTAAGTTGGAAGTAAGTTGAGGTGAATGAGACGCGCTTCGGGTCTTCCCTAGTCTTTTCTCCTCACTAAAACGTGCCGAGGTTGCCGATCCTTCAATCCTTCGCTAGAACGTCATGTTACATTTTGCGGGGATCAATACCAGCACCACCAGATTTCATCGAAACGTGATGATCTATTATTAATATTTATAGACTTTGCCGTGAATTAAGCCGCATAGTTGCTACTGAGGTAATCGCTGCATCGATGCGAAACTGAGCCTTTAGTGTTTATATAATGCATGATCCTG